AATTATTTATTCTTATGCGTTACTTCCTTAGTTGATTTTTTAAAAAACTGGAACAACACGTGATGCCAGACACACTTAAATATAAAATGTTTACATAAATGCATCATATTCATGTCAGTACAACCAAACTTTATCATTTGACATGACTTTTTTTTTCCAAATTGCTTTGTTTAATTCAATTGACTTTGTAAACGTAGATGTTCTTGTTCGCTAAATTTTTTGCGACCGGGTGGTTTCCATTCACTTAAAAGACGCAATACTTTGCTTGCATATTCAGATCGGTTGGAACTCGTCGCTGCTGTTTTATCTTCGTTCTCTACGCTTTGGTACTTAGGTAGGGAGGGTGGTGTATTCGCCTCAATAGGAACTTTATCGGTTTTACAATATGTTTTGAATTTTTGACGATCTGAAGTTAATTTCTAGTTTTGACTGATTTAATGTACCCGTAGCATTAAATAAACACGCGACCCTCGACACGTTTAATTTCAACTAATTCTTCTTCTTATTGGTAAAAATTGAAGGCGGTTTAGTTAATAACCATTTGAACTGGATGTATGTTAACTTGAATTAAAGTGTTCAGTAAACGCTTTTAATTTGATAAGGAGCAAACCATAGAAGTGCAAAGGGTTAGTCGGCTAGTTAGTGCGATGTGTTTGTAAAAGCAGAAATAAAGCAAAAAATTGGCACAGCGCAGCACAGCACAACATATACCCAGGTCATGTCTTGGTAAGGTTTTGCGCACCCCGGAAAATTCGACTTAGTGCCTGACGAAAACGAACAGGAACATTCGGTCGGTAATAATGATACTAGAGTTGAAAAATGATAGAAATAACGTCTAATAAAATCGAGAATCGGCTTCTGTGCACATTATCCTCAAAATTATATTACGGATGTGTCGCGTTCTTCATTACAATTATTCATTGATAAACTTGTTTGTTAGTGCTTGCTTTAGCACATCTACATCTACATTTGCATCTACAAACAGTAGGAATTGACTTATGATCTTTTTAATGCCAATAGTTTTCAGTACATGTTTGTACTCCTCGAGGACGACAGCAAGAAAAAGCATATCTGCAATGTTTTCTAGAGCGCGGTAAATTTGAGCGCATGTCTGCACTTGTTGGCGGCCACAGCAAGAAGGAAGAAAAACTGAAACAGAAATTTGTAAATGCTGCAGTCATCTGTCTTCTCCTAACTAACGTTGCCGATCCATTTTTAGATCTCATTCGAAATCGTTTGTTTCAAACGAAGTCCTAACTTCGATCAAAAATAAAAAAAGGCGCAAAATTGATTCGAAGTTTGATCGCCTTGCGACGTGTGATGCCTCTCTGCTTCTCATGCTCAGAACATGAACATTAGTATCTATTTGCAAGGGTAAAAGAGGCTTCCTTGTAATGATTGTTAGGACCTGTTGGCATTTTTCATATATATACAG